TTCCTTTATCAAACTGCTTCGTTTAAGAATCAAGTGAATTTCGGTCGGAATAAAGGATGTTCTGAACAATTGAAAAAAAAAATAAGCATTAATTCAGTTAAACAAAAGAACGAGAAAGCAAGGATATACAAGAATCGTAAGATGTTATGCTGATTTGAGTAAAGAATTGTGAAAAGTGGTTTAAGCTTGCTCTTTGTAAAATATTAAAACAGGCATTAGAAACAATCGGCAGCTTACTGAAACTGAGCAGATTAATTTCTCAAAGTTTCATGACTTTTAAAATTGAGAGAAAACTTTTTCAGAACTAAGCAAGTTCAGGATCTGTTTTTTTTTTCAAATTAAGCCTTAAAAAAATTACCTTAAAATATGTTCATGAAGCAAGTCTTGCAAGTTGGTTGATGCAGTTTAATTTTGGGTGTTGATCACATTTTGGTCACGATAATTTACTTGTCGACTTCATTGACATTCTAATTAATGATGATATCTTTTTCTAACATCCTTGTTAAAAATGAAATCCTTCTCGAAAACCAAGTTGTAAATGAAGTCTTCGCAGCAGATAGTTTCCTTAATAAAACCTTTGGTATCAAGCAGTTGGTTACACGCATGTTGATGTTGACATTTTTTTGAAGATAAAGCAGTCAGTAAAATCTTTTGAGAACACAATTTTCTTAAATAAATGTTGTTGATGATACGTTTTGTGAAAAATAGAGCAAATTTTTTTTCAGCGTTTGCTGAGGTTAATTTTCATTATAAATAATTGGGTCGAAGTGTAACTAGACTTTATTTGAAGTCTTTAACTCAAATAGGCAAATTTTGTGTCATTTCTAGCTCAAGGTAAAATTTTTGTAATATTAAAGCTAAACCAAATGAAATGCTAATTTAATTTCCACTTAAATTACCAAATTATATTATTTCTCTCATCCCTTAGATAGATAGATAGAATTAGATGTAGGGTTCGTTATACACGAAAAGGCACTGCGATCATAGATCTGTTGTACCATCCCTTTAGGTTCAGCTATAGAATTCCAATGTCCTTAATAAATCCCACTAAGTCCAAATAGCGCTGCTTCGTTATGCCACCTATATTGACAACATCCTCCTTGAAATGTTTATGGCGAAAAGCACATAGTGACTTACAGTCACATAGAATGTGTGCCATGGTCTCCTCAGCTGTACTACAAAACCTACAAAATTTAGAGTTACTTAAATTGAGCTTAACAAGAAAACTATTGATACTCATGTGTCCAGTCAAAGCACCAATTAAGATGCTAAGATCCCTTCTTGTCAGTTTCAATGCATCATTTAGGCTGTTCTTGTTGGTAGGGCCTAGCAGTTTTTTAGCTGTTAGGGATCCTTTTTCTGAACACCATATGCTCATCCCTTAACACTCATTTAACTTGCAACTCAAGATATGACAAAATCACGCTGAATAAATTCACAAGCAATAAGAAAATACTTTCTATTCTGCGAAACCTTCCAAGTGTTTTTTTTTTGTTTGTGAAATAAATAAATTTGTCCTAAAGGCATCAAGAAATCTCATCACATAAGTTTAAAGCAGGTTCACATTTTCACAGAAAAAAATATTCTTCTTTGTTGTTAATATTTTATTATTGCTGAAACATGCCAAAATTTATAAAGTTGAAGAGAATATGGGTTGAATTTTAAATGAATTCTCATATCATGAAAGTTTTATCATCACATAATCAAATATACTTGAATGTGTAAGGTTGTCAACCAAAATAGATTGTTTTATGGTAAGTTCTGCAGCTTTATAAGAAAAATTTTGATGCACAATTTTAGGGATGCAATTATGCAGACTATAAATGCAGGTTGATTGTGTAACCCTAATAATGGCAATATTTCGTCAATAAATCACCGACTCAAGCACTCTTACTTGACAATAAGAAGAATAAACAATTTAAAGACGATAGCATCTCCAGTTCTTTTTAAAATCACAATAAAAAGAGTAAAGCAAATTAAAACAATCTTAGCTTATTTATATTGTCTTGAGAGAATTTTGAAATGAATCAAAAATAACATAATTTATTCATCATATCTCATTAAGCAACCTTAACAAGGAACGTGACAGAATTTCTATTTTGCGATTTTATGTGGGATGGTAAGGGGCCGTTCACTTATTACGTTACGGAAAAAAACGACTTTTTTCAAAAAACGTTCATAATTTATTTTATTTTGATAATTTTTCATAAATCATTAAAAATGTGGAAAATTTAAAAAAAATGATTTTGGTGTGAATTTGTAAACAAATTTTTTTCGTGAACTTTTTTTTAAAAGACAGACGACAGTTACAACGTTACATACTTCTTGACACCCCCCCCCCCCCCCTATGTTATATTTTGTTACAATGTTTCAACACCCCCCCTCCCCCCAAAAAAGCGAACGTAATAAGTGAACGACCCCTAAGCAACTCAATGTTGAGTTTCTTTTTAAATTTTTTCAAATATTTTCTTGATTTCTCTGAACTGTATTTAACCTCAAGGAGATGCTGTACTAATTAATATGAAACTGCTAAATTAATTTAATAATACTTAACAATTTATAAAATATTTTCAATTGACAAAATGTTTTTGTACCTTAATTAAGTATTTTACAATTAAATCCATCCGTTCAATTTGGATATTTTGGTGCAAATTCAGCTCACATGTTTCAATCAAAACTCATCGATCACATCTCTTGATCTTAATCCTAGAAACTAATCAAATTCTTTTTTTTTGTCCCAGCCTGAGAAGATGATACAATGTAATAGAAAAAGCAATCAAGAGCCTAGCTTTGATAAATTCATTCAGTATATTAATGCTGGACTTGAATATCATTCGAAGTTTGCTGCAGTTCAATTAAAATGTGGAGGTCGTTTTGGGGAATATTCATAAATTATGTTCTTTTGACAAACGAACCCAAAGAAAAAATATTTTCTTCCGAAGTATTTCTTTTGAGCTGACGATCGGGGTGTTAAAAAATCAGTTTTTGTGGAACATCATTAACAAATAATACCCACAGTGTAAAGGTAAAGAATTAAAGTTGTTCACGAAATTGGCAAAGGACCGAAAATTAGAACAATAGTGTAGAGAAGAAGAAAGGCTAAAGGCTTTTGGCATAAACTATAATAGATATGGCAATAGGAGAACACATCACATCAACATTCACAAAATGAGGTCAGTATGAAACGATCCATGTAGCTATCATTTTCTCTACATATTTTCATTTTCACATTCATGCTACGCTAGAACAAACAAAAAACAGCCTGAAACTAACAATTTTTCCAGTAATGATATGAGCACTTTCCATCCTTCCTCTTACTCTCCCTTCTGTTCTATGCTTGCCCTTCTACATGATGAGGATTGCATATTTTTGTCCGAAAATTGCATACCATCATGCATTTATATGGAACATAAACATTTCACATGCATATGTATGGCATTTATATAAGCAAAAATGCCTGAATACATTTTGCTTAAAATTTCCTCTTTTATGTCAACAATAAACAAGAGTGGACCCCCTTTTATGCATTTCATATGAGCTATATCATGTGATGTATGAGAGACTATGTAACACAAAAGCGCTTATTTGAAATTGATGTGGAAACTAGCAAAGGTAAATTCGAATAAAAAAATTTTTCTGATAGGCACAATTGTGCATGGAATGCATTTGTCGATGGTATATCTCATACAATTTATGATGAAATTATTTGATGAATTTTTTTTTGTATTTTTGGATAACGAGGAAAATATGCAAAATATATTATTCAACAATTTCAAATATGATCCATAAAATACCAATATCGGCCTTTGTGCATCATCGTCATGAGATATAAATTATGTTATTTTTTCATTTAAATTTTTGCTCATATTAATCATGATATATGTTTTCTTAATAAAGATCGTTTGATAAATGAATGATATCATTCAAATAAATTGGAGCATTGAGCTTTGATCTGATATGAGTTATGCTCATCTATTCCAAATACAATTTTTATTATAAATTTTCATTATAATTATGGCAATTATCTATTTGGTTACAATGATTAATGAAGTTCATGTATTTTCGATTTCCATGCTCTTTCTAAAATTAGTGTGTAGACGGAATTAAAAAGATTAACAAATTAAAATTCACCTGAACACCTGAACTGCTTCATTCATGTGGCATCGTAGCAGATTCTAGGGTATCAAATTAATCTGCTGTGAGAGTGTAGCAACAAGCACCAGGAACCAGGATCTGTCAATATCAACCTGGTGCTTGTTGCTACAAGAGTAAGTTCTTTTTCCCTGAGCAATTAGGCAAATTATGGATAAGAGTTTATTTGAACCTACTTGTGTAAGGATGTGGGTTTGATTCCTATGGATATGGCTCGAAGAGCATATCTATAGTAGATAGGCCTAAGCATAGGGATCGCGTTGAACTGGTTATATGTGTAAGGCGGATAGCCATAGTAAGACAAGTACCTTGGTGGACGAGTGGCAGGGATCTCGGATCGAGTGGTCAGAGATCGCCTCTTTTGAGGTCGTGGGTTTGATTCCCATCGAACTCGACTTGTTTTACATTAGTATACTGGGGGGGTTCTCGATTTGAGTAGGTGTTTTGTTCCTGAAAAATCCTATTCAAATCGAATCTACTCAAATCGAGGACCCATAGTACACATATGGCAGTTATGAGGAGATCTACAATTCCCACCAAAGATCGACCTCTCAAAATATTTGATAGAGATTTATCGATCGACAAAAAGCTCGCGACAATGCGATTCAGAAATCAACCTTTAACAATTCAATTAAATCACAAAAAAAATTAAACTTTTCAGAAATCTGCATCTTTTGTTAAATTCAAATTCAATTTTAGTATCACTATACGTTATCTAATGTTGACTTTCATTTCCTTGTTTATAATTTGAGCACTCATAAATGATAAATAAAACCATAAATTTTTATTAAAAACAATTTTTGTTTCGCATGTAAAACTATCAACTTAGAAATTGCAAGACCGTTGATGTGTGAGCAAGTGCCAGTAAAATTGTGAATTTGGTTATGGATCAAAAGAAACTAGAAGTTGCTTTAAGTAAAATTATCCCGCCTAATAAAGTTCGCGAATCTTTATTGGATAATGGTTAGACAATTGAACTTATAATTAAGCTAGAATTGACGATTTTGTATTTTCAGAGTTTTTGAGCGATGTTACATTTATTTTAGGCAAAGAAGGTACGCCATTAAAAGCTCATAAAATACTTTTAATGACATCATCATCAGTCATTTACAAATTGTTAACAAAAAGTACCGAACAACGCCTTAATGTTCAAATTCCACAGATTTCGAAGCCAATAATGTTAGAAATTTGTCGCTATGCCTACACAGATGAAGTGAAGCTTACAACTGAAAATATGCTGGAAGTTTTTTTTGCTGCCTCAAAATTTGAGATGAAAATATTAATTAAAAAGACTGTGGACTTCATTTGTAAGCAAATCAGTTATCAGACAGTCTTTAAAATATTGGAATCAAATCAAGCACATAACAACTTACGCATAAATATGAAATGTTTCGAATACATTGAAAAACATTATCATCTGTGCTTAGAAAATCCAGATTTCCTTAGCATTTCAGAAGAACTCTTTCGTACAATCTTGACAACATGTAAAATTTCACCAAGATCAGCAATACCAGCTATTAAAAAATGGACTAATGAGAATGATGAAGATGTTTTAGATGAATTGATGGGAATTGTAAATTTAAGTGATGAATCCGATCAAGAAGAAGCTTCAAATTTTGAACCTATTAAGCCAATTTCTTCTTCAACTACTTTACAACGACCTATTTCAAGTGGCATGCTCACAACTCCAATTCCAAGATCATCATTAACAAATTTAATTAATGAAAAAGAAAATTTAAAAGTTTTTAAACTTTTAGGCAACACAGCTGAAAGTGCCTATAAATATGCAAACTTGGATATCTTTGTCGGTTCTCAAAACATTTTTCTTCATTCTCTAAAATTCATTTATGATTTGAAAACAACTGATAAGGAATTTGAAATATCTGTAATTGAAGTTGATGATAATCGACGAACAACTCTATACAATGACAAAGTAATATTCAGTTCAAGAAGTAAAGGTCCATTTACATCATTTGACTTCATGCAAAAAATTGAGCTACAAGCTGACAAGAAGATTTGGTTTAAAATTGAATATCCAAGACATGAGAGTCGCAAAACTTATGATCATTTTGATGTCTCACCAGTGTCTTCTCAATGCAAAGATATAACTTTGAGAAAAGACTATGCCTTTCACTCGTACACACAAATTATTAACGCAATTTTTTACACTTCCTCATAAACTTTTTCATCAGTATTTGCTGAAATAATCAAAATATATTAGGATTGTCATTTTTGCTTCCAATTTTACTAAAGCTGCCTGGTCTTCGTGATCTGTGCAAAATTTTAGTGCTTTGTGTTGGGAATTGTCTAGCAGTAAGGTGGTGGATTAACTCGTGGCTAGTTTTATATTTGTTGCGATACAGGCTTCTGTGCACAGGCGAGAATCGTACAATTTCTTGATATTTTATAAGGTCGAGTTTTCTCCCAACCTCCGAATGAGGAGGTTGTGGAATTGTGCAATACTTCAAAATTAATTAATTACGCGTAGGAATAAGTCACAAACCTACGGGAACTGTCTTCAAAGTAACAAAGAACAAAGATACCAAGGAGAAAACTTAGCAAAGTCGCGATTTAATTAAATTTTGGATATAAATTGAAATTGGAAAAAAATGTGCAAATTTTGCACATAATCTAGATAAAACGGAATTTATCATCATCGGAATACCAAAGAACATTTAATTACATTGACAAATCACGATCGGCGGCAGTTGTGAGGAGAATCAACTATTTCACGTGGGTTTTTTGTGTTTTACCAACAATCGTGCACAAGAAGGTTCTATCATAACCATAACCTAGACATATTGAATATTATTGGAATACAACGGATTAGCTTCAATTGTGAGGAGAATTTGTCTCGCGATGGGTTTTGTGTGTTTCCCCTTATATCGCGGGCAAGTTCTATCAATCAATTGGTGCTGACTGGATTTCAACAAATTAACATTGACAAACAGGAATCGATCATCTCGGAATACAGATCACAATCGAGACATCACAAAAATTTGAATCAATTTGGAAAATAGTTGAATTACAAGAAGGAGTGTCAAGGGATCTGGATCATCGACAACTGAAGATGGAATTTTTTGCCTAGCGATGGTTTTTTGTTGTTTTGACCAGACTACCGCCATTTCGTTTCGGACTTCTTCGAAATTAATTTCGATTTCTTCGATATTAGAGCCGAAAATTCAAATTTCAAAAAACAGTTACATTATGTAAACAATAAATTATTTTAATCAATACCAATTCTGCACAAATCCCAAAGCTCTTCATAAATTAATAATTTTATATTTTTTTTATCCATTCTTAACTTTATTATCAATAAAATTTGAGCAAAATGAGTAAATGCATGGTAAAATCTGGTTTAACCGTCAGAAATTTTTGAATATTATAACGGTCATAAAAAATTTGAATTTTTTTGAATATAAATTTAACGGATGTTATATGAAATGACGGTAGTCTGGTTTTGACTTATCGCGAGCATTTTTCTGTCAACCATTTGGAGTTGACTGGATTTTATTGATTGTTCTTTGTGTATATTTGTAAATTAAACTACCTGGAATTGTGAACGGTCTTTAAATAGCAATAAGCTGATGGACCATAATAAAGTTAATTAAGAAGAAGAAGTAGTATCTAAGGTTTTACTTACAAAACCATACAAACTCGAATAAAACCTCACAAATTATCAAGGATTTGTACGGTTCTCACCTGTGCAAAGGTGCCTGTATCGCAACCCTGGTTTTAAGTTTGTTTAATTTTTTAATGTTGATCTTGGTAGCTAAATCACTTATTGCTCAACTGTACCCTACCTTTACCCCATTGGGATGTAATATATTCACAAAATTAATTTCTGCACTCAAATCTTTTCACCTTTAACTCTTTAGATTTAAAATATGCATCTTTTTGCACTTTGAATGTAATTACGAGTAAATAATCAAAAGAGTTCCGCATAAAAAAAATTAAGCAGCAGTATGCACGAATTTCTGAAATAATATTTCCTCTTTATTTTTCATACTTTTTTAATTACTTTCCTCTCTGCTTCTTTCTCGTCGAGCTTCAGTTATGAGTTCTTGCATTTTCATTTTTCATCCATAAATTTTCATGTTCCTTATTCATATTTTTCAGAATGTATGTACATTGAATTTCTCGTACAAATAAAACCTCAACATTTGCTCTTTCGCCTTTTCTTCATTCATTTTTATTATTTTTTCGTCAACAACGACGTGTGATGAATTTAAATGCTCGGAAAATTTGTTTACCATCGCGGTGTATGATTTATGAGTATGCGAAAAAAATATTTTTTTTTTATTCTTTATTTGACCCAATTTAGCGTGAAAATACATGTTCATATTTTTTTTAATAAAAAATCGAGTTGCGAATATTTTTTCCCTTCCCGTGCCGCGTATTTTTCCCATATTTCTTGTTCCCCAATTAATTGGTTTTAATTAAAGCACGAATTTACGTTTTGAATATAAATTTTTGGTGATTTATGTGGAAGGTAGTCAGAGTTCTGTTTCGTTTTCAATTATCTGTCATCATAAAAATTCTGCAAAATAAAATTGGGGACTTTTTGTGTATCAATTTGTTTTAAATTGGGAATTTTCAGTAAAATTTTTGCTTTATTGTTCTTGATGCTCGAATCTCTGGACATTTTGGTTTGTTTCTCATGTAAATGTCTGTATCTCGAATTTACAAGTATGCCTAAATGAAAAATCAATAATCACATCCAGAAGCATTCATGGGAACTTTTATATATGAATGGAAAATATAGGGTTGTTTTAGGGGGTTAAACAGCACTAAAGACATCGTGATACGGACCATTTAAACTGTAACAGCTCATGTGTCATAAATAGTTTAAAATCGTGTTGTCGTCTCAAAACTCCTTCAATCTTAGGATATAATCAATATTATCACATGCCCTTGATACAAGTATAGAAGTCAAAGTAGGCATGACAATAAACCAACTCCTGAATTCACCACTACTCCCTGTCATATCGGTCTGCATTCTGTACAGAATTTCCAAAAAAAAAAAAAAAATATTTTACAGCATCAGCAGTACAAATAAATTTTCATTATTGATTATTTACTTTATCAGTGCTTTTGTATCTCACTTTTGTGTCTTAATATACATCATTTCGGACGCCTATATTGAATTTAAAATGAAATTGATTTTAATTAACGATAATTATTGTGCATTGTAGTTAAATTATCTGAAAAGCCATAATTATCAGATAATTAATTACATGCTCAGCAAACCATCGAACATGATGTCGTGCAATTATAACATCCGATAACATTTTCTAAGAAATACTGGGGTGTAATTTAAATGGTGGTCTTAATTCAGTATCATTGCTTCGGTTTTATGGTTCATTAAAATTTTGTGGAGATTAATTTTTGTGTACAAAGAATGGTCCTGCTCTAATTCATGGAACTTTGAATTAATACCCATTATTATCATTTTACACATTACGTCCTTATTATTTACCATCTATAATCTTAGTTTCATAAAATAAGCTTCTTACATTTCAATTTAATGAAAAGCGGAATCTCATTGCATCCTGTGACAGTTAAGAACTAGCATCAGCAAAATAGAGCATAAAACCTTAGACAGATACCAAAATTTTGTTTATATCATTAGCCAAACAAAAACAGAGATTCCGACTCCCCAAAATCTGAGCTTTTTATTTTCACTTTTTATTTTCGTAAAAATCGTAAAAATTACAAATCCTTCCCTTAAAACTCTAAACTTATTTTTGTATGAGCACCTTAACAGCTTTTGTACAACATAAAAAAGAAAATTTCACAAGCATTTATTCACAAACTTTACGACAGATTTTTGCTTTTTAATAACATCACAGTGCGGTTGCCAAATGACAGAGACAGATTTCATGGAGCTCGTGTATGACGTCTCAACTAGCTATATTAAATCTTTTGAGACTCACAGTCAATAAATAAATTAATGAAAAATTATTTTCATTGACACAATAAAGTTTGGAGAGAAATGGAAGCTTGGCAAGATGTCTAAGACACATTTTTTGAGCTGTCAGGAATGAAATTTGTTAATTACAAACTAAGTTGTTGCAATTATAAAAAATACAGCATTGAAAGTAATGGCAACAAAGGCGAATATTTACTTAGCTGAAATAAATCAACAAAACGAATTGACTGAATATAGAAGAGAGTAAATGAATTGAGACACTTAAAGGAACTGTATTTGAAGCGCTTTTTTAGCGCATTTTTGTATACTTGTATACTAAAAGGGAGCTTAATAATACAAAATGTTCGTTTGTTCGACTGCTCGTTCGTCTCAAGAAAAACTTTTTAAGCAGACATCGTAGAGAGCTCAGGTTTGTTTTATTAGCTCCGTTACTATTGTTTATTGTCCGATCGAACAGTTAAAAGTCTTAAAACAATGTATTTATACTATAATTAATGATTTTTTTATTTCATGAACAAAACCACGTGATGAGTACGTTTAAAAAATTCAAAATTACCCCTATAATTTCAAATTTTTTCTAGCCGTTGTAAAATTTGAATCTGTATGGAAATTCATTGGAACAAATTATTAATTATACTATAGTTGATGTTTTTGTAGTGCAACTTTTAACGGAAAATCTGTAAACGCACGCAAAATAATTAGATAATCAAATACTGATCGCTGCGTCAAAAATGCGATGAAGTCCCTCGATCAATAACACGAGGACTTTTGTAATTTTGTTATTAGTTTCTGATGATTAATATGTTCAAAAGTCATTCAAGAATTGTAAGCTGCACCAAAAATAAGATGCCAAAAATCAAAAAATTGGTGAGCCCTAAATGACTTAAATCATCGAGTTCCATAATAAATTCAAATCTAGATTCATTGTTACAAAATTGTCAGGAATTAAAACTCAACCCCTAAGAAAGAGCATGTGGATGCTTAGCGTCCGTAAAAAACGAAAACATGCATGCGAATTTTCAATTAATCATTAATAATTAAGATCCCAAATGGCTTTTTATTATCTCATCAGAACTCCAATAATGAATTTTTAATTATTTAACTTCGCAAGTGCTAACACAACATCAAGTCAATATTAAGTAAGCCATTTATTATTCATCCATAAATTTACAGAACAAACAACAAAGTCAGTCAATGTAAAGTCAAAATGAAGATTTCAAAGCATAGCGAGTCTAAGCTGTTTGGAGAATAGGGAGTGAAAGTAAATAATGTAGCGTACATTGGGAATTAAATGACGGCAACAAATTTAATTAAAATGTTCAAGTCTCTTTGTGGATGACTTTAAATCATCTTGAAAATGACGTTTAATAAAAGAAAGTGCTTATTTCTTTAAAAATTCTTTAAAAAAGTACGAGGAAGCAGAGAGACACAAGTGTTGTCATTGCGACGGCATATTAAAATTTAATGACATAAAAATGAGATTGCCGGATGCTGTATAGCGCGAAAAATTCTCATCAAATATCCATGAAGTTTCTTACATCTCAGATGCTTCTTCTTGTATTTCCTTTTCATCCTCGCATTGCAGGCTTTGATTTATGTATTTCAATTGCCAAATGTGTATTAATAAATATTTTAATTCCTTTTCTGTAGGCATTCCTTCCTGTTATCATAATATATCCGGGCATTATCCTAAAATGCCATTAAATTCATTCCTTCATGTTATATTTTATTTTATTATTTTAGCTTCTGTTGTTTATTTTTATGCAATTTAATTAATTTGAGCTGAAGAATTATGGTCGACCATTAATTTTTTGCTGCTTCGCTTTTTATCCGTCTCTGCTGGCTTTGTCCAGGGCGCTCTAATTTACTTTACTTTTTTTTTCGTGACAATTGCTATTTTTTAAGGTGACATTCATTAATGATGTCTATCAAATTTTAGTTAAGAGTCTCTGTAGTGTAGTCAGTAAAGCACTAGATTGAAATTTGGTGTGGTAACCTAAAAGTTCGATTCCTAACATTGTAGAATCTATGCATTTTTGGATGTCTTAATTATTTAAGTTTTCTTAATGGACGAGATCGAGGCACAAAAAAGAAGTTCTTGATAACTTCGGTTTGAGGATCGGGTGTGTACTTAAAGGTAGCAAGAGAAATAACAACTACCTTCTTGTTATATTCTAGTTGTACAATTGACTCTTGACATTAAGATCTAGAAATTAGCCAAAAAATAATCCAGATTTCTACTCGAGAACAGAATGGACCTATAGGGATCGGCAATTGAAATAGGAATCAAACCTTAAAACAAACTATCGATGTACCATCTGATAGCTCCAGAAACCTTCTTTTACCAAAAGTTTGACGTTACAAGAAGTCTACAAGACATTTTTGATTAAATTTTGAGCAGGAAATGGACAGAAATAACTCTGACTAATCCCCGACTTAAAATTATTCCATTGATACAATCTGGAGCAATATATATTCTTTTATCATTTCCTTGCGTTTTGTGCTCCATTAACACGCCACCATCCGAGCATGTTGTAAGCAAAACGCAATGGTGAAATGAGGAATGAAATGAAAAATTATTGAGCGGTATCAAGTAAAATTATAATTTAAAAAAATTCATTATTCTGACCCTTTTTTGCTTCTTTATTCTTTACAACAAAACTGTTTTTGTTTCCCTCACACATTAAGGAACGAAATGAGATAATTTTATTATTACGTTAATCATTATCTCATAAAATGTACGTCGATGTAATCCTAAAGTAATTTTACTGGGTGGTAAGATCTTTAAAATTACATTTATGATTTTAAATACTGCCTGTTTTCAAACTTGAAACTTCCTTATTCATTGCAATAAGTTAATCATAGATTACAGAGATTATAAGATTGAGATAATATAGCCTTTTAAGAACTGAAAAAGCTACAAAGCAATTATTTTAATTTCGACATTGAATAAATATTCCTTTTTATATGATCCCAAATGTTTACAGTTATCCCAATCTATGAATGTTAATTTCGTTCTGACAATTTCATTTTGAACTTAATAGAATATGACTTTAGGGGCCGTTCAATTATTATGTTACGGAAAAAACTATTTTTTCACCCCCCTCCCCTCCCTTGTTACAATATATTACAACTCACAACCCCCCCCCCCCTGAACGTTCATAATTTATTTTATTTTGATAATTTTTCATAAATCATTAAAAAGGTGGAAAATTTAAAAAAAATGTTTTCGGTGTGAATTTGTAAACAAATTTTTTTCATGAACTTTTTTTAAAAGACAGAC